GGAATGCTAAGAACTAGCCCAGCTAACCCAAAAGAAAGCAGGAAAAGAAGAAAAAAAGGAACAAAGGACAGATGGGGCAAATAGAGTTGAACCCAGCCATATCAATACTTATGTTAAGTGTGAATTATCTAAACAGTCCAATCAAAAGCACAAATGTCAAACTGTTTAAAAGAGCAAGACACAACTGTACAGTGTTTGCAAGACACCTATTTCAATTATAATGGCAGATATAGCATCCAACAATCATCATCAGATTGTGAAAGAAAAATAACATGGCCAGGCACGATGGCTCACACCTGTAATCCCAGCACTTTGGGAGGCCAAGGCAAGCAGATCACTTCAGGTCAGTAGTTCGAGACCAGCCTGGGCAACATGGCGAAACCCCCATCTCACTAAAAATGCAAAAATTAGCTGGAGGTGTATGTACCAGACACCATTCTAGATGTGGTAGTGAACAAAACAGACCAAGTATGCATTCATGGAGCTTCCCTTTAAGAGGGGAGTACTGAGAATTAACAGATCTATATGTAGAAATACAGCATGTTGATGGTGCTAAATGGTAAGAACACTGAAGCAGAAGAAAAGGGAAAGGAATTATCTTAGCTGGGAGGGTATTGTTACTGCATACCAGGTGGTTTGGAAAGGCTTCCCTTAAAAAGGTAAGAATCTAAAGCAAAGGAGAAAATTTCAGGCAAAAATCTAAAGCAAAGGTATACAATTTGTGGAAGCATAATATTTCACGGACACAGAGCCACAAAGCAAGAGCATACCTGGCAGGTAGGCCAGTGAGCTGAAGCAGAGTGGGCATGGAAAAGAGTGGCAAGGTGAGAGTATGGGACAGCTCACAAGGGCCTTGGGAGGACTTTCCATTTTTGCACCGAGTTGGAAAGGCTTTGGAGGTTTTAGGCAAAGAAGCGACGTGGTCTGACTTAGGTTTTAAAGGGATCACTTTAGCTGCTGTGTTGAACACAAACTATAATAGAGCAAGTGTAAAACTAGGGAAACCATCTCAGTAGCATTGTTGAGGAAAGGGTGCATATAGTCTGGCAAAAATGTTTCCTCATAAACATCACATTGGTTTTACAGTCCTACTTACTGGGCTTTGGAAATTATTTTCTTTGAGCTAGTATTTTACTCAAATACAGCTTAAATTGCCACAGTAGCAATAGAAGTTATTTTCTAAATAGAATGAAATATACAACTTTTTCTAGCTTGGTTGATTACCAGTTGATAATAATAATATACTTATAGAATGTTGGACAGTTTAAAAAGCAATTTTACATTCATTATCTCATCCTCACAGTTCTCAAATATTGACATGGTAACTGTTATCTCCCTACAGAGTTGGAAACTAAAACATCACATGCCAAGGCCAGTCATGTGTCAAATTTGTGACAGGATCAAAAAGACTAAAACCCAGGTTATCTGTCTCCTAGCCCAGATTCATTGACTTTGTTAAAGGGAGCTGTTAGGTTCAAATTATCTCAAGGTTGCTGGTAAAGGGGACATTTATATTAGCAAATTTAATGTATCATTTAAAAGCTCTCAACCAGTGAGCGAGATACTGTGCTCAGAAGGGATACATTTGAAGATGTATAAATTAAACTCCTACCCTGTGAACTTAATTGTTTGAGTGATGGTACTGATAACAGCAAATACGTTAAATAACTCTTAGTATAAAATGTCATCAAAGCCAAGTGTGGTGGCAAACACCTGTAGTCCCATTGACTCGGGAGGCTGAGGCAGAAGGATCACTTGAGCCCAAAAGTTTGAGGTCAGCCTGGGCAACATAGCAAGACCCTGTCTCTGAAATACATGCATACATACATTACATACATAAATCATATGCTTTGCCAAACGAATGATACAGACAGTAGACGCTACAGCAATTCAAAGAAGGTAGTGACTGATGGCCTGAGATGAAGGATGGGCAGGATTCAGATAGATGGAAAATATGGAGGAAAGGTTTCTAAACCTGGGGGTGGGAGGGAGATGATGAAAACAGAATGAACAAAGCCTTAATGAGGGTTTTTTTTTCTTTTGAAACAATGATTAAAACAGTCTTGTTGGAATGCAAAGATTGATTTGAGGATGACTGGATGTCTACTACTTTCACACATAAAGTACTTCTGAAAACCAGGTTGAGGGGAGAATATGAGAAGTCATACAGTAGGCTTACATGTACGTTAAAAAAGTGTTGGAAAGCTGGAAAAATACAGTCAGGTTCTTATTTACACCTTGTCTTTTGGAATATAGTTTAGCAGTTTTGTTGTTTTATTATTTTCTCTTTCCATTGATCCACTTAAGTCAGATGTATCTGATTGAAACTAAAGATTTGCTGCTTTTAGCATACCTCTTAATTTCCAGGCAGCACCTTCTTCCAGGAGCTCAAAATATTTGTTCATTAACTGTCTCCATCTGATGTGGTGGCTTAAGAATGGTTTAGGGCAAACTTGTCCAACCCATGCTCCACGGGGCCACAGGAGCCACAGGATGGCTTTGAGTAGTTCAGCCCAGCATAAATTTGTAAACTTTGTTAAAACATTATGGGATTTTTTGTGTGTGCCATTTTTTTCTATCTCGTCAACTATCATTAGTGTATTTTATATGTGGCGCAAGACAGTTCTTCCAATGAGGCCCAGGGAAGCCAAAAGATTGTACACCCCTAATTTAGGATGTCAATATATAAGGGAACAAATTGTCCAAAAGAAAAATATTTAAAACTCAGGGCCCAGGATAAGAACTAGATTTGAAAAATAAGACCAAACTATGTAGAATCTAACATTTGTTTCAGTTCAGCAAACATTTAAGTGTCTACTGTGGCTGTCTATGATGTGTTGTGCTAACTGCTGGGGCACACTTGAAAGCACAACCCTATTCTTAAGGAATTCATGTTCTGGTTGGTGGCAGGCATGTCAGAGAATACTTAACCTCCTCCTTAAGGAGAGAAATGATTTAGTGAAAGTGGTATATTTAAGGTTTAATATGATGGTGGTATAAGAATTAGGTTGAAAAATTAGAGAAAACTAGACACCAAGAGACCAGGGACTTGCTGGTAAAGGGGACATTTGTCTTAGCAATTTTTTTTTTTTTTTTGAGACAAGTCTCGCTCTGATGCCCAGACTACAGTGCAGTGGCACCATCTCAGCTCACTGCAACCTCCATTTCCCAGGTTGAAGCTATTCTTCTCCCTCAGCCTCCTGAGTAGCTGAGATTACAGATGACCGCCACCATGCCTGGCTAATTTTTGTATTTTTAGTAGAGATTTCTCCATGTTGGCCAGGCTAGTCCCGAACTCCTGACCGCAAGTGATCTGCCTGCCTCAGCCTCCCAAAGTGTTGGGATTACAGGTGTAAGCCACTGCTCCCGGCCATGTATTAGTAAATTTAATGTATCATTTAAAAACCCATCCATTACTGAACAAGATACTGTGCTTGGAAGGGATACATTTTAAGAGGTATAAAGTATACTCCTACCCTGTGAACTTATTTCTTGGGGGTGATGATACCAATAAAAAGAGCTTACACTTGCCTGTGCATACCAACTTGAATTCCTAGAGCCTCCCAATAGAGGTTATAATGTGTGGTATCTGAAGTGCTTGCTACAGAGACAGGCTCTACAGTTCACCCCTCATCACTGAAACAGAATCCTCAACCACAACATGTGCTTGTGGTCTCCATTCTTTATTCTCTCATCCATTCAACAAATGTTTATTGAGCACTTGAAATATATCTGTCACTCTTTCAGGGGCTGGGAGTACAGTAGTCAAGAAAAGAGACAAAGTCCCTGCCTTCATGGAATTTACATTCAAATGTCAGTTATCAGGCTGAGGCTAATAACATTTATCAGGCTAAATGAACTAATGTATAAAAAAATGCCTAGCACATTGCCTGTCACATAAGTATGATTCAGTAATAGTTGCTGTGTTTGAACTTGAAATTTGAATTAAGTATCTACTCTTCGCAAAATACTTTATTGTGGTACCCTTTTGCCAGATGGAAGATCAGGAGAAGATTAACCCATTTACAATTTTTAAAAAAATGTTACATCAAAAAATTGTCTCCTGTTCAGTATCAGTGTAGTTGAGATTATATGCTGTTTTAAATATAACCAGTTGTCTCTGCTAGACCACTTTTGCCATAAAAGATGCATTGAAGCAGATGCTGCTCTATACCATCAAAAGTGGTATGCTCTTGTCCTCCTTGGATGGCTTTTTTGGGCTTCCTGAATTCCTGAAAAGGCTCATTGTTGTCACTGACGATGCTTCACAGAAATCCTTTGTTTCATTACTTAGCGACTGACTGCTTTGGTGAAATCTATTCAATTCTTTTGTTAACTGTAACAGCAGTCAAAAATAATGTAAGGGAGGAGAAGGATAAATGAAACAAAGACTAATAAGCACATGCATGTAGACACATACGCACATCTTTTAGATAAATTTCTAAGTATTATCTGAAGTAACATTTGCCTTGTAAAACATGGGAAATAGCAGTGCTACATTCATTTCCTCATCGGTTTCATTCAGATACGACCTGTTACCTGTAGCATATGAATGACTTTTCCCTGTTGGCCTCCCTTTGGCCTTACTATTACTTAGATGGGAGGATTAGCCTGATAATTACACATATAGAGCAAAACGCATCCTTTTTGTGCAAATTCTTTGCAGGAAGAATTTCTTATCTACCTCCTTTTCCTGAAAAACTACGGATAGGATGATGGGTGTATTTACCGTTGTTGTAAGCCAAAGTTTGATTTCACTTTCACTTGAAATAAACTCTTGCTTCTGTAGAAACCAGAAATTGTTAAAAGTGGAGGAGTTAAGACCTTACATTTTACCTTCAGTTAAAAAAAATGCTTTTCATTAAATTTGTGATTTGAATTTCGGATTGAGCAGATGATGTCATTTCTGCAACTTGGTGTGGTGTGCGTGTGTGCTTTTAAAGAACAAACGCTGTAGGTATATGGAATTAGTTACATGGCCTTTTCTGGTCCCTTTTTAGATGTGAAGCCCTCCAATATGCTAGTAAACACAAGAGGACAGGTCAAGCTGTGTGATTTTGGAGTTAGCACTCAGGTATGTCCCTTTTCCTCCCAGTATACTCTTTTCTCTGCAACAACCTCTTTATATTTTCATTCTGTTCTCTGGATTGAAAAATCACCTAGCTGCCAGACAAACAGAAACCCTGCATCTTTTCCTCGGCTGGGAGTGTGTTATTCATTTTTAATCTCTGAGCGAGTTTCCTTCATCAGAATATGATTGTTCATTGTTTAATGACAGTAAAAACTGCTGATATTGTAATTACTACTTACGAATAGCAAACTTCATTGATATGCAGCTTTGATATGAAAGCGTTTTGGCCAGACAAAAGGGAGGGCAGAGTGGGAGCTGTGCCTGGGGAACCCAACTGGCCCACAATAAAAATTAATATTGGGAGCAACAATGGTGGAGGGCCATTACAATGTGCAGCACAAATTTTAATTAATTTCCATTTTGGGCCTCCCCTGAGAAACCCAGTGATAGTGACCCATGAGCATGCTGTGATGTTGATTTGAATTGCAGCCACCTTTACTCTCAGCCAAACACGAAGACCAAAGCGAAGGTCATCGTTGTATTATGAGTTGTCAAAGTCTGTTATCCCTCCAGCGTATTTAGTGTTCGTTTCATTCTAGTAATGCATGGGGCTTCATTCACATCTTGAGCCATCTGACTAAAAATTGAGTGTGTTCAAATTCTGCTTTAAATTGACTTTTTATATCAGGCGGGTTTGGGGTACTAAAGCGATAAGCATCCTGCTTAAGTGAATTGTTTAAGGTTATCTGCTATAAACTGTAATGCTGTGCTTGTTTAAATTGGAAATCACATTCAAAAGAAAAGAGAGATTTAATCATTTTTAATGCCTTTGTAGATAAATTTGTTCCCTTTTACATAATTTTTAGTTGATTTATACGAATGATGATTGTAGGTTAAATGAGGAATAATTGCCCATTTTATTTCCACATTATCTTTATATTGTTCTAACAGACTGTTTTGTCTCATAGCTGGTGAATTCTATAGCCAAGACGTATGTTGGAACAAATGCTTATATGGCGGTAAGTAAACTTATGCAAAAATAACATTTAAAACCAACATCTTTATCTTTATGTACTTGGTAATGTATAATTCTTGAATTAATTCCACAGCTTTAGCCTAGCAGATCATAAATTACGAAGTCAATCTACTCATGGTCTGATTTTTAAATCTTTCTAAAAGACATTAGGGTTTTTACAGGAGCTATCAACTTATCTGACTTTGTTGACTTAACTGGTTGGTTCAAGTGTGAAATCGCTGAGTTTTGAAGTTTAATCCTACAGAAAAATTGCACCTTGTAGCATACTGGCCACTTTTCCACATTTCTTATTTAATTAACCCTCAAATATACCCAGATGTCAGTCAATAAAATTGGTTGTTTTTTCTTGGAATATGAACATGCTTTGTCACCTGACCAAAGTTAAATTACTGATATAGCCAAATTATATTTATGGATCTCTGATTGTAAGGGTTTAGGGGGCAGTTCTCTATAGAACTTATACCTCTATATTTTGTTTAGTTGTTATTCATGCCTATTGTAAGATTATTTAGTTGCACTGAAATAAACTTACCAACAATAACAAGTAGAAGCATAAGGCTATTTCAAAGACCAATGTAGACTTGGCTTTTGAGTAAGGGAAGTTATTTGTTTTCATAAATATACTTTAGTTTATGCGTTTCCATAATCACCTTGAGAGTCAGAGGGAAAAAAAGAATTAAAAAGGAAACTTATCTAGTATTATTTTTGGAGCAAAGTTTTGTCTTCCTGTAACAACTGAAAGATAATTTTTTCTAATGAAAGCTCTAAATTTATTTAGGTACTCCCTTTCATCTCTAATAGTCTTCATTAATATATCATGAAATTAAATGATGTTAGTATGGATAAAACTGTGGGTCTTATTCTCAGTATTCTGTGTTTATATATTATCTTGATTAAAGATTTAGGGATGGAACCTTGTTCTAAACCTAATTCTAAACCTAAACCTTATTCCCAGAACAATACAAAACTTTTTTTTTCGTTCAGATACCAGAATAGCTCATTTTTGTCTTGCATGGTTTTTAAAGAAAGTTCATACTTTCTTGTTTAAGTGTAATAATAGGAAAAACAAAAAATTAACCTCTGAAGTCATCTTATCTGTTTTTATAAAACGTAATCACCTTCCTCTACCAAGTTAGATGAGATTGGTGAGCCACGTTTATAGCCTTACTGAATGCTAAGGTTTAAGTCTTTGAAAGAATATGAAACACTGTAATTTTTAAAAAGTGGGGGGACATGACTGTAAATGAAACAATTGCTCAACTAACCAGCATGTTCTTAGTAGCTTTAAATTCCTCTGATAATTAAATTGCATTATATTTTAATGTACAAATCCAGATTACAGTTGTCTTTCCCAGGTGTACATTAAAGAAATTAGTTTTTTATTTTTGTTTATGGGTGAATGTGATGCATCCATCTGTTAACTGAAAATATGAGGTTTAAAATTATGAAACGTTAGCTCAGATTGACAAAATTAAAATTGCTTTGCTTCTTAGGTGAGTGAATTCTAGTCGTCAGCATTGTACTTCAAGCTATAAAAAGCATAAGATACCTAGAAAAGGAGCAATGATAGCTTGAGAGTGAGCGCTTTGCTCAGTTCAGTAGGAGGCTCTTATTGGCCAAGGTCAAGTACTTACCTACATGATGTGAGGTTGGGGATGGGGGGGAGGTGGAAATAACCTATATTATTATAGTGCATGTATTAATCCCTACATTTTATCTGTTGAGAGTCTCTTGAGAGAAAGGAACTGAGCCTTTTTTTTTTTTTTTTTTTTTAATAACCACAACTGGTTCTCGTTTTAGCTGGTATATTTTATAATTTTGAGTTCTACATAAGTCCTATGCCAAATATCCATGAACTACAGTTCTCAGGCCAAATTCAATTTACTGGAACAATGTACTAATCACTCTTCTAAGCTCTTACTGCCTATTTTTGTAAATAAAGTTTTATTGGAACATGTCCACACCCATTTGCTTATATATTATGCATGGCCACTTTAGCACTGCAGTGGCAGAGTTGAGTAGTTGTGACAGTTGCAACAGAAAGTATATGGCTCATAACATGAAAAATATTTACTAGCTGACCCTTTACCGAAAAAGTTTGCCAGCCCCTGATCTATGCCAGTGAAAGCTGTATCTGAAACTGAGGGCACCTTCAATAATCAACCAGCATTTACTGAGCATCTTCTGTGCCATCAGTCAGGTACAGTGGAACCATAGTATAATCCAGATAAGACTTGGATGAAACAGGAAACATATATGTAGCAGCATTGTGTGTGACATAATAAAGACTTAAGTTGTACCAAACATACATTTAGAAAATAAGACAACCTGGGCACAACGGCTCATGCCTGTAATCCCAACACTTTGGGAGGCCAAGGCAGGTGGATCACCTGAGGTCAGGAGTTTGAGACCAGCCTGACCAACATGGAGAAACCCCGTCTGGACTAAAAATACAAAAAATTAGCTGGGTGTGGTGGTGCATGTCTGTAATCCCAGCTACTCGGGAGGCTGAGGCAGGAGAATCACTTGAACCTGGGAGGCGGAGGTTGTGGTGAGCTGAGGTCGCACCATTGCACTCCAGCCTGGGCAACAAGAGTGAAACTCCGTCTCAAAAATAAAAAAGAAAAGAAAATGAGATAGACAGTGTACGAATTTGATGATTCAAACAGTATGTGAAAAGGGTGCTTGCACAAGAGAAAGATCACTGTGAATGGATGAGCAAAGACTCAGAAATAGAAGGCATGGGGCAGGGTGAAGAAATGGGGAAGAGGACAAATAAAAAATTGCAGGAATACGTAATTAGAAGTCACTTGATACCCTCATTTTACGTATTTCCCTCACTTTATATTCGTGCATACTTCTGTACAGTGATAATAACATCAGTAATAATAGCTTACATTTAAGTAGCTTTATGTGCCAATCACTCTTCTTACATATATTAACTTTTAAATGCTCACAACACTATGACATAGGTACCTCACACAGTGCCAGACGAGTGAATTAGTTCATGAAAGCTGCATTCCAAAAGTGTCTTGTTCACTAATTATAAGCACAACATTTAACTTTTCATATTACGAATATATTTAACTTTTCATATTATGAATCTTGCTTGTGTTTCAAGGTATAGACAGGCCAAAATTACTTAAATACAGCCAGCTAGGCTACTCAAATATTAAAAAGAAAATATATCAGAATGAAATAGCCCTGCATATGTGAATAATCTCACTTTATTCTGTAATCGGAAGTATAAGATATAGGAAAGATAATTAGGAAAAGGACAGGGAGGCTTTTGTAACATCATTAGTCATTTAGAAAAACCAAGTATGAGCACATTAAGCAATGTGCTTATAGGAGACTTGAAAAGTCATCTTGATCCAACCTTGCCATTGACCAGTGAGGAGACTGACCTGGAAAAGTGAATTGTCATGCTCAAGGACATACTGTTTTTTTAGGGGCAGATAATTAATAGGTTCAATGGATACCTTCATCAGAAGCATGAAAGATTTTCAACCACATTTTAAAAGGATTTTATCCATAAGGTTTATAAAAGGGGTCTAGAAGCTTGGAGCTTATATTAAATTAACAATTTTTCAGAAATTCTTTATTTTTTTTTTTTCTTGAGATGGAGTCTTACTCTGTCCCCCAGGCTAGAGTGCAGTGGCATGATCGCAGCTCACCACAACCTCTGTCTTCTGGGTTCAAGCGATTCTCCTTCCTCAGCCTCCTGAGTAGCTGGGATTACAGGTGTGCAGCACCACGCCTGGCTAATTTTTGTATTTTTAGTAGAGATGGGGTTTCACCATGTTGGCCAGACTGGTCTCAAACTCCAGGTCTCAAGTGATCCACCCTCCTTGGCTTCCCAAAGTGCTGGGCTTACAGGTGTGAGTCACCACACTCGGCCCAGCAATTCTAATTACTAAAAATTTTATTATGTTTTTAAGATAGAAGTTCCTAAAACTTTAACTATTCAGTCTTTCTGGCTTACTATCATTTTAAAAATCAAATATAAAAATTGACACTATTGCTATCATTAACTGAAGTTTTAAAATGAAAAAATCTTACTCAAATCCTTGGCCCTTGGGATCAGAAAGTCAATCTAAATAACCATTCCTATCTCCAGAATGTTTTTTTCTGCCCAAGCTATTCCAATTCTTGGAAATTGTCTTTACTTGGAATAAAACCCATACACATTGCATGATCCAACTCAATGGCTATGCTCATGCGGTGGTAGTAATGGTAGTGGTGGTGACTGGAAGGATACTTGGAATAACACCCATACACATTGCATGACCCAACTCAATGGCTATGCTCATGTGGTGGTAGTAATGGTAGTGGTGGTGACTGGGAGGAGGCTAGCATTAACTGGGCATTCTCATGTGGTGTGTACTGAAGCACATTACAGGATTCATTCAGTCTTCACACAACCCCAGGAGGTATACGTATTACTGCTATTATTTATTATTACTGTCTTCATTTTACAGATGAGGAAACCAAAGGTCAAAATATCTTTAACCCAAGATCTCAGAGTTGGCACATAGTAAAAGGCAATTTAATTAGGACATCAGCTTCTAGTTTCTGCTAATAGCAAACTAAGTTATTTAGATCAACTCTTCTGTTTAAATGTGCTAGCTAAGTTTTTTTTTTTTTTTTTTTTTTTTTAAACCATCTCAAATGCACCGAAGAGCTGAAAAGACAGTGGGCTACTCCCAGCACAATTTTTGAATGAAATCCTACCACAGAGAGGAAAGTAGAATGGGATCCCCATCACTGCTTATTCCTGAGGGCATTTGCCTGAATCACAGTTAGGCAAGAGGGTCAGCGGCCAAGCTTCAGAGCCCACCTAAGTCAGAAGGTCTCAGAGAAGATCTTCTCTGTTCCCTGCTAGAAGCCTAAATGGGTAACCTCAGTGTAAGGGTAAACTAGATCTAAAACTGCTCCTCTTCCCCCAGTCCCAGGAAACTGAAGAAGAGGCAGGAAAAGTGGAACAAGTTGTGACCATAGCCTAGCCCTGGTATAGATTTGCACCCTAGGTATATGCATACATGTCCTAGGTTGGACAAGGCACTTCACACTGAGAAGTGGTTTGAGGTGGTCTCCACCTTAGGCCTCAGAGAACCTCTCCAAAGTTTTTCTTTCAAGAGGAAAAACTAGCAAGCAAAGAGAACCGGGCACACAAGACAGCAAAGCCACCTGAAGAAGATCAGCAGGAATAGCAGGCAGCAGAAACAGATGCATACAGCCTTAAGATCACACATTTTTAAAGTGACATAGCAGATTTTTAAAGTTCTAAACAAAACTTCTAGATTAAAATTTAAAACTCACTGTATTTGACAACTTATTGGACACAGCAGAAGAGAGAATTGGTGAACTGGAAGATAGATCTGAATTCAAGCAGTCTAACTTCAGAGTCCTGTTTAACCAGTGTTCTGTCTGCCTACGCAAGGATCTTGCCAATGTTAAAAAAAAAAAAGAAAAAAGAAAAAAATCCTTAACACTTGTGATACATATTTTGACTATACGCTAGCCTGAAGTTTTCGTGCCTACTTTGTTAATTTTCTATGTAGCCTGAGTCTGAACAGAAATTCCTTTTTTGGAAGAGATAAGGGATATACCTTGATATCTTCCTGCTTTTGACAAATCTTGTTGTAAACAGACGGTTCTGGAATTAGTTAACTACATGTGAATTATTGTCAAGGCTGAGTCACAGAGGGCATCTGGAGGGAGTATAGTGTGGGTGCCAGAAGGACTGCCCTTTAAGATCCTCTCTAAATTCTTCTTATTAGATCATCACTACTCTTTACTGGTCTTATTAAGAACAGGTCAGGGTTTTTTTGTTTCATTTTGTTTGCTTGTCACTTAAACCTCACTGCAAAGATATTTTAGACAAGAGTTATGTTTTTCCTATTATTTAGCTTTTCACACTAATGACAGCTGTCATGTGAGAGAGTAACCTCAGTTTTAGCTTTTTAACTGCTAAATATCCATCACCAATATTCTGTCAACAACATGGTACCTGGTAGTTGGTTTTGTTTTGTTTTGTTTTTCAGGGGAGAGGACAGGGCAGGCCACCTTGGATTCAAGTGTGAGAACAGCTTTGAATTGTGCAGCCTCGGGCCATCAAATCCTGGCTCCATAAATTCAGAATGTTTTGGTGCTCATCTTGTGTCTAAATCACTTCCAGGGACCTGGGCACATTTTCCAGTCCCTATCCACCTTAAGAGTTGTTTAGGATAGACACGTGGAGCTTGCTGTTGGCTTTTGCCGAACATTTTTGCTCAAACACTGCATCACAGCAGTAATCTTGTTTCATTAGCTTATTGAAAGAATAATTTCCCCAACAAGAGGTCATCAGAATCTGACCCTTAAAAGAGTTCTCTTATTTGCCATCTAGTATCTGTGAACATTATCGCTTTTTCTATTTTTTCTTTTTAAATTTAATTTAATTTTTCTATGCTTTATTATCAGCTTACAGTTTGCATTTGTTTTGATAGTTCAGTGGGCAAATGTAATGAGTGTGTTTAACCTCCTTGTTGATCCTGCCCAAATATTTTGTATGTGGGTTCCACTTTTGTGTGTGTGTGTGTGTGTTTTCTGTATTCTGGATGAAATGCTTGGTACCTGTCAATCAGTAGAATGAAGAAATGGAGAGAGGAAGGAAAAAAGGTCAGGGCAAGATTTAGTTATTTCTTTAATAATTCTAGAGGATTTTAGGATTTTCATGTTTGTTAGAAGTTCTTGACAGACATGAATAGCAATGTATGAGGAAGTTATATTAAAACTCTCTAAGGAACTTATTTGTTCATACAGTAAACATGTATTACATCCCTTCAGTCAGCATGCATTGACTGCATATCTGTTATGTGTCCGGCAAGGTACTAGGTATGTCTGCCTGGTACACTCTTTGCCTCTTAGGAAAAACGAACTAGAAAACAGATGATTTTATAACACAGTGTGATAAATAATACGATATGAACAGCATTTTAATGAAGTACAGAAGCAGGAATTTATAATTCTGCTGTAGGAGTAGAGAAAGGTTTCACCCTCAAACAGGATCTGTGTGAGACATGGTCATTAAGCAGAGAAGACGAAAGCAGGGAGATCTGAAAGGTCATTGTCTCTCCAGGGAACATGGAAGTATTTAGTGACTGGAGCTAAGTGTACCAAAGAATCACCCAGAGAAATTATTTTTTTAAGTGAGGATCTCTAGCCCCATCCCCAGAGATTCTGATTCTGGAGGTTCATTTGTATTAATAGTAAGCACCTCAGGCAGTTCTGTGATGGCTGCTCCAAAGACTGCACATTGAGAAATACTGACCAACTCAAGGCTGTGCTTGGCTCTTCTGACTTCTAGTTGTGGGGTCATTTTGACTCACTGGAAAGACCTCTAATTTTGCAGTCAGACACAACTGGCTTTGAATCCTCGCTCCTGGACTGTGCATTTAATGCCAACCCATAGCTCTAGACTTGAACATGTCACTAACTAAGCCTCAGTTTTTACATTTGTAAATTGAGGGCAGTAATACCTACTTTTGCAGAATCATTATGAAGTAGAAGACGCAAAGTACCTAGCCCAGTGTCTGACACTAGTAAGTGGTCATTAAATGATAACTATTACTATCCTTCTTGTATAGTGGATACAGCACTCATAATGGTTAGTAAAGTAAACTAAACTTCTCTGTGCCTCATTTTCCTCATTTGTTAATTGGGGATGATAAAATAGTACCAATGTTACATGGATGTTTGTGAATCTGAAATGAGATATGCATGAAAAACACTAAAACAAGGCCTGGTGTACAGAAATTCTTTAATAAATGCACACATAATTTTGTTGTTGATGATAGTAATGATGGTGACAATAATGTTATTCCTGTAGCTGGCTAGCCAGTTCCGTATGAATACATCCTGGTATCTATTTAATTGGATATTGAGGTGTAAGTTATGATCTCAGCCTTGCCATGATTAGCCTGTAACCTTTAGCAATCATTCCACCTTTGTGAAACCTCAGTTTCTCTTATTCATTTGTTCATGTGTTCATTCCAAAGCCTTCTATGAAGTACTGTACTGAATGCTAAATCCTAGAGGGATAGATAGCTCAGGAAGCATCCACTCAGTATGAAATTATTCCTTTTGAACTAGAGTGTTTATGTAGCCTTTTTTAGACCAGGTATTTGCTATACATCTTGCGTGGAGGACCCAGAGTCCCAAATGGACCTTTCAAACTGTTCCTTGGTTCATATACAAAGAAACTCTGATCAGTGGAATGAAATGTTGAACAGTAGATGAATCTGGGTAAAGGAAATAGGAATGTGCTTTGCTCTGATCTCGTTTTTTCAAATTTCCTGTAAGTTTAATGTTATTTCCAAATAAAAAATTAAAAGGAACCCTACTGTTCCAGACCCATGTATCAAAATGCAAATAAGTAATAATATCATATAATGTTGTATAATTTGTTACTCCACAATGAAGATCACTGGATTTGGAGGGAGAGGATCTGGATTCAAATCTCAGCTCATTCACTACTTAGGACCTTGCCTAAATTACCTCACTACTCTGAGCCTCCATTTTCTTCATCTGTGAAATGACTTCCAAAGTCTTCCTCACAGGGACTTGGAGAGGATTCAATAAGAATATATCTATATATAATTTCTATAGATTTTATACTATATACACAAATACTTATATACACACATGTAAAATTGTTTTGTCATCCATAAAATGCTATGCAGGTGTTGGTGGCTCCTCACCTTAGCTGAGCTCATTTTGGTGTATGTGTTTTCCTGAGTAGCATCCGTGAACTCACAAGCTCCCTTCTGATTCCTTGCAGCCTGAAAGGATTTCAGGGGAGCAGTATGGAATTCATTCTGATGTCTGGAGCTTAGGAATCTCTTTTATGGAGGTATGTTGTTTGCACATAGACGCTTCCTTGCATATCTGTACTAATATATTCAATCAGGAAAAGTGAAGATTTTGAAAGAATAAGCTAAAATAAACCTTCAGCATGTTATATAGATGTACACACAGAGTTTGACCATAAAGTCTTTGATTCCTCGTGTGGCTTGTGAACTGACTCTGGAGGTTATTTTAAAACACTATTTATTACAGATCACCTGTGTAAGACCTGCCTGGAGTCTTTGTTAAAAATACAGATTCTTCGGCCCTATTCAAACCAATTAAATCCAAACCTCTAAGAATCTGCATGGTTAATCTGTTCCCTGGGTGATTTTTATACACACTAAATCTGGAGAACCTGTGTTCTAAAAGAGGGATTCTAGAAAAATTTGGTGTCCTGTTGGAATGCATATGTAACTTCCAAAGGTGATTAGTTTAAAAGGTACAGCCCTACTCATTTAGATGTGTAAGTTATATATGTTTGTTTTAAAAGAAAAAAAAAATCACCTCATTCCAGTATAGTCATATCAGATCTGTATGTGGGTTAAGGGGTGGTGTGATATGATGAACAGGGAGGGGGGAAGAGGATGTATGTATTTAGGACAATTGCAATATCTACTCTTTATAGCTGTATTTAGAATGGACTTTATGTTAGTGTTCCAGATGTAGCTCCATTAGAACTCTATGCTATGATTTTTTAATAAAATGACCATTGATCTACAAGAAAATGCATATAACTTAGAAGGACATGTGGATCAGTTTGAATTATGGTAGTATAGAACCGGTATACTGACCAGTGCTTCAAAAATTCTCATTTAAATTGATTCAAATAAAGAAGGACTCTTCTTTTCTTTTCTTTTATTATACTTTATGTTCTAGGGTACATGTGCACAACGTGCAGGTTTGTTACATATGTATACATGTGCCATGTTGGTGTGCTGCACCCATTAACTCGTCATTTACATTAGGTGTATCCCCTAATGCTATCCCTCTCCCCTCCCCCAACCCCACAACAGGCTGCGGTGTGTGATGTTCCCCATCCTGTGTCCAGGTGTTCTCATTGTTAAATTCCCACCTATGAATGAGAACATGTGGTGTTTGGTTTCCTGTTCTTGTGATAGTTTGCTGAGAATGATGGTTTCCAGCTGCATCAATGTCCCTACCAAGGACATGAACTCATCCTGTTTTATGGCTGCATAATATTCCATGGTGTATATGTGCCACATTTTCTTAATCCAGTCTATCATTGATGGACATTTGGGTTGGTTCCAAGTCTTTGCTATTGTGAATAGTGCCGCAATAAACATACATGTGCATGTGTCTTTAAAGCAGCATCATTTATAATCCTTTGGGTATATCCCCAGTAATGGGATGGCTGGGTCAAATGATATTTCTAGTTCTAGATCCTTGAGGAATCGCCACACTGTCTTCCACAATGGTTGAACTAGTTTACAGTCCCACCAACAGTGTAAAAGTGTTCCTATTTCTCCACATCCTCTCCAGCACCTGTTGTTTCCTGACTTTTTAATGATCACCATTCTAACTGGTGTGAGATGGTATCTCATTGTGCTTTTGATTTGCATTTCTCTGATGGCTAGTGATGATGAGCATTTTTTCATGTGTCTGTTGGCTGCATAAATATCTTCTTTTGAGAAGTGTCTGTTCATATCCTTTGCCTACTTTTTGATGGGATTGTTTGGTTTTTTTTCTTGTAAATTTGTTTGAGTTCTTTGTAGGTTGTGGATATTAGCCCTTTGTCAGATGGGTAGATTGCAAAAATTTTCTCCCATTCTGTAGGTTGCCTGTTCACTCTGATGGTAGTTTCTTTTGCTGTGCAAAAGCTCTTTAGTTTAATCAGATCCCATTTGTCAATTTTGGCTTTTGTCGCCATTGATTGCTTTTGGTGTTTTAGACATGAAGTCCTTGCCCATACCTATGTCTTGAATGGTATTGCGTAGGTTTTCTTCTAGGGGTTTTATGGTTTTAGGTCTGACATTTAGGTCTCTAATCCATCTTGAATTAATTTTTGTATAAGGTGTAAGGAAGGGATCCAGTTTCAGCTTTCTACTTATGGCTAGCCAGTTTTCCCAGCCCCATTTATTAAATAGGGAATCCTTTCCCCATTTCTTGTTTTTGTCAGGTTTGTCAAAGATCAGATGGTTGTACATGTGTGGTATTATTTCTGAGGGCTCTGTTCTGTTCCATTGGTCTATATCTCTGTTTTGGTACCAGTACCATGCTGTTTTGGTTACTGTAGCCTTGTCGTATAGTTTGAAGTCAGGTAGCATTGATGCCTTCAGCTTTGTTATTTTGGCTTAGGATTGTCTTGGCAATGCAGGGTCTTTTTTGGTTCCATATGAACTTTAAAGTAGTTTTTTTCCAATTCTGTGAAGAAAGTCATTGGTAGATTAGTGGGGATGGCATTGAATCTATAAATTACTTTGGGTAGTACGGCCATTTTCACGATATTGATTCTTCCTATCCATGAGCATGGAATATGCTTCCATTTGTTTGTGTCCTCTTTTATTTCATTGAGCAGTGGTTTGTAGTTCTCCTTGAAGAGGTCCTTCACATCCCTTGTAAGTTAGATTCCTAGGTATTTTATTCTCTTTGAAGCAATTGTGAATGGGAGTTCACTCATGATTTGGCTCTGTTTGTCTATTATTGATGTATAAGAATGCTTGTGATTTTTGCCATTGATTTTGTATCCTGAGACTTTGCTGAAGTTGCTTATCAGCTTAAGGAGATTTTGGGCTGAGACGATGGGGTTTTCTAAATATACAATCATGTCATCTGCAAACAGGGACAATTTGACTTCCTCTTTTTCTAATTGAATACCCTTTATTTCTTTCTCTTACCTGATTGCCCTAGCCAGAACTTCCAACACTATGTTGAATAGGAGTGGTGAGAGAGGGCATCCCTGTCTTGTGCCAGTTTTCAAGGGAAATGCTTCCAGTTTTTGCCCATTCAGTATGATATTGGCTGTGGGTTTGTCATAAATAGCTCTTATTATTTTGAGATATGTTCCATCAATACCGAATTTATTGGGAGTTTTTAGCATGAAGGGCTGTTGAATTTTGTCAAAGGCCTTTTCTGCATCTGTTGAGATAATCGTGGTTTTTGTCTTTGGTTCTGTTTATATGCTGGATTACATTTATTGATTTGCGTATATTAAACCAGCCTTGCGTCCCAAGGATGAAGCCCACTTGATCATGGTAGATAAGCTTTTTGATGTGCTGCTGGATTCGGTTTACCAGTATTTTATTGAGGATTTTTGCATCAATGTTCATCAAGGATATTGGTCTAAAATTATCTTTTTTTGTTGTGTCTCTGCCAGGCTTTGGTATCAGGATGATGTTGGCCTCATAAAATGAGTTAGGGAGGATTCCCTCTTTTTCTATTGATTGGAATAGTTTCAGAAGGAACGGTACCAGCTCCTTCTTGTACCTCTGGTAGAGTTGGCTGTGAATCTGTCTGGTTCTGGACTTTTCTTGGTTGGTAGGCTATTAATTATTGCCTCAATTTCAGTCCCTGTTATTGGTCTATTCGGGGATTCAACTTCTTCCTGGTTTAGTGTTGGGAGAGTGTATGTGTCCAGGAATTTATCCATTTCTTCTAGGTTTTTTAGTTTATTTGCATAGAGGTGTTTATAGTATTCTCCGATAGTAGTTTGTATTTCTGTGGAGTCGGTGGTAATATCCCCTTTATCATTTTTTATTGCGTCTATTTGATTCTTCTCTCTTTTCTTCTTTATTAGTCTTGCTAGCGGTCTATCAATTTTGTTGATCTTTTCAAAAAACCAACTCCTGGATTCGTTGATTTTTTTGAAGGGTTTTTTGTATCTCTATCTCCTTCAGTTCTGCTCTGATCTTAGTTATTTCTTGCCGTCTGCTAGCTTTTGAATGTGTTTGCTCTTGCTTCTCTAGTTCTTTTAATTATGATATTAAGGTGTCGATTTTAGATCTTTTCAGCTTTCTCTTGTGGGCATTTGGTGCTATAAATTTCCCTCTACACACTGCTTTAAATGTGTCCCAGAGATTCTGGTATGTTGTATCTTTGTTCTCATTGGTTTCAAAGAACATCTTTATTTCTGCCTTCATTTTGTTATGTACCCAGTAGTCATTCAGGAGCAGGTTGTTTAATTTCCATGTAGTTGAGCAGTTTTGAGGGAGTTTCTTAATCCTGAGTTCTAGTTTGATTGCACTGTGGTCTGAGAGACAGTTTGTTATAATTTCTGTTATTTTACATTTGCTGAGGAGTGCTTTACTTCCAACTGTGTGGTCAATTTTGGAATAAGTGCAATGTGGTGCTGAGAAGAATGTATATTCTGTTGATTTGGGGTGGAGTCTTTTTTTTCTTAGTAGAGATAGGGTCTTGCCATATTGTCCAGGCTGGTCTTGAACTCTTGGGCTCAAGTTCCTCCTGCCTTGACTTCCCAAAGTGCTGGGATTACAGGCAGGAACCACTGTGCCCAGCCAGGACTTTTTCTAATAGAAAAGTAGAAAGGACTCTTTAAATAATATCATAGATAGAGTCGCAATCATGATTTTATAACCTTTTTTTTTTTAGTCAAATACTTTTTCTGTGAGTTTTGTAATGCATGAATGCAATTGTATTTGTAAGGAAATAATCTTCAAACTCAATTCACCTGCACAGTAGAAAGAAAGCAAAAATAAAGTGTGGAACGTTTATTAAATCATATTCTTCTGCTTCTTCTTAAAAGGCAATCTAAGAGGAAATACAGTATGTATGCATCCTCTGAGAAGTTAGCGATAATGGTGGTCAGATCTCAGAGCTGAGTCTCCCAAGAGAATCCTCAAAGGCTTATTCTATTATCCTGTTTTAGGGAAAACTAGTGTTTTTGATTTGTGGAACTCAGGATTGCTGTTATACAATTTCCTTTTGCATATTTTAAATTGTTATTATTCATTTTATAAGTGACTGGATATAGTGTAAGACAGTTGAGAAGTGACATGGTGTAGAGATAAAAATCCTAAATTGGGAATG